TGTCTCCTGGTCAAATAAATCTGTAAAAATATAGTTTTGACCTAATTTTTTTTTTATTAGTGTTTTTTTTCGAAGATTAATCTCTGATTTGTTAGTTTTAGTGTTTTTTGGACAAAGTACTAAACAGGGGAATTAGCCAATTCTTGTTTCGGTCATAATTTTTGGTTATAATTGTACTGATTGCGGTAATTGTTTACGTTCCATGTTGTAAAAATGTTTTCTTTCACACATCATTGGTAATGTGCATTTAGGCAACAATATAAAATTAATTCCAATATGCACCAATTAATGAATGAAATAACACTTGGTGCACCCTGCAACACGAAAAACTCTCAAATTTCTATCTTGTGAAATAATAATCAAAACAAAACCAGTGTAAACATTCAATCTTTACCTTACTGAAGACAACTTGACATGGAGTGAGTCCACCATACAGATTGGTCTTTCAATTGCTAAACAAAAAAGTGTTGGCAAATAATAACTGTGTTGTATTTATCTTGCAGCCAAACTGTTATGCAAAGATTATAAGTGTGGAATCACTTAAAAAGATCGTGATATATTCAAAACAACAGATAAGCGCTGGTGATGAGATTACCTACGATTACAAGTTTCCTATGAAGATGATAAAATCGCATGTCTGTGTGGAGCTACTCAATGCCGAGGATTTCTTAATTAGAATACATGTGACATTATTGATGAACTTGGCAATGGAACAATCCTAGAGTTTACAAGAGAGCTGTATGTACAAAATGGGCTCCTTCCCGCTATCAGGGATTTTATACAAATGAATTTCTCATAGTTTTATGATGTAATAAATTACAGTACATTCCAGGGTATGCAATTACCGGATTTCTCGATATTTTACTGACAACAGTAGCTCGTCGACTTCAACTCGAGTTCTAGTAAATAAAAACCTTGTTCCCCTATGGGTTCTGCATTGTGGTACATTCCTAATTTCATATAATGGGATGTTCCAAGTACCTGATGAGCAAATAAAGGGTGTATGGTTTTTTTTATTATTACAATTTGATGAAATGTTTGTAAAAAATGTAAATAATAAGTACCCATAAGATGAGTTTTTGAATAAGTTTCTATTTTCTCCTATGTATTTGCCAGTTCGGTAGTTTACTGTATGACATCACATCCAGTACTAGCTCAGATTTCACTAATTCAATTCTATTATTAGTATTTTGCTGCACATAGTTTTTGCTATGTTGCAGTGTCATCTATGTATCGATTGTAAATATTATTTTGCTTTTTAAATACAGTTTATAATGACTGTATTGTTGGATACGAGACAAGTATTAATACCATTTGTGCTCCTTGTAATATTTAATTTTTGTAAATGTATAAAATGTACTTTTTCAACACTGTCCCTTGAGATATGTTTGTCTATTTCTTTTGAAAGTCTTGATTACATCCACTCTTGGTGTTGTTTCTCGGTCTTGTAGTACAACTAAGCAACATTGTAAAACTTCCATAGCAGAGCTATTTTACACAGCCACTGTGTCCTGTACCATAGACCCTCTTTTAGAGGGTCTATGCCTGTACCCAACATTTCCTTTCATGGGGGTGGGTACATGCCTCTATTTTCAAATGGATTAGGCTGAGAAAAAAAATATCTGTATCTTGTTTCTGCATGCATTTGAACTATGCGCCTCAGACGGGTTTTTTTCCTTCTAAATCATTCCAAAATGCACTTGTACTGGCATTTGTTTCAAATTTCATCCATTATAGCGCAGTATTCAAAAAAAAAAATCTGCTCACTGCCTCATTTTAAAATTTCCACGTAACTAGAAACAGAAATTTTTTTTTTCCTTGTCTCATGCTTGTGAAAGTCCTTCAACATTTATGCAGTACAAGTGGGCGTTAACATTTCTGAATGTGTGGTTATTGTTCTTGGACAATTTGCATTCTGAAACTGAGGCAGGTGGGCTGTATACGCAAGACCTACGTAATGATAAACTTATGAATATTCATTATGAGGGGGGCAAAGGGTTATTTTCGTTCAACGTAATTGCAATTTTTGTTGTTCATACAACGTAAATAGAAAAAATAAATTCTGTAATCGCAGGCTAGACGTACAACGTAATCAAATATTTTTTTCGTACACTGTAAAAATGTGTCATTTTCCCGGTACGTACAAGAATTAAAAAAAAAATAATCCAGTGAAATTACATTTTAGAAACTGTAAAACGACTAGGTGACACAATTCACTACAAAATTGAATGTCAAGACGTAAAAGGCCCTCTAACCGATTGAAGAGCATTACGAGGGTAATATTCGCATGCGTCTCTACACACGACGCAGTAATGTCGGAGAATTTTAGTCTGAGAGCTCTTCAGACCATTCAATGTTCCATTTTTTAACAATGTAAACTGTAAAAACGTCCTTTTTTTCCTTGTAAATTGTAAAAAACTCTTTTTTCCCGTAAAACCGTACTCGCTACCCCCTTGCCTCCCCTCCATTATGTAACACCAACAATTATAGAATGAAATTACTCAAAAGCCAATGACCGACCTCGCATTCTCGATTGATCCCTCAGAGTTGCTTACCTTTGTGATGTCATTTTGGCATAGTAAAATCTTTGATAAATCTTTGATGTCACATTGTACATCAATGAGAAAACTATAGAAAACTTGGTGTAATTAAAGTCCTGCAATAGAGCATTCTGATTGGTCAAGAAGCATTAGGTGTATATATATTTATATTTTTTTGCAAGTGACTGCAGTAATGTCATCTAAGTATCAGTCATGTATTGCGAGGCAGTTGCATGGTTCAGGGATTTGTTTTCTGGGGTGTTAGGAAACTAATTGTGGGTGTTGGTCAGGTACCGATAGGTAGCAAAGTGGTCTGGAGGTCAGTAAAGTGGCATAATGGCTGGCTTGGGAGACAGTTTGGAACAGAAATATTGTTTAGGAATCGGTAAACTGGTGTGGAGAATGCAGAAATGTAGTCTGGGAGGAGTACAAATTTCAGTTGTGAGTATTAAGTGGTCTCGGAAGTTCAGTTTGTAATGTAGTCGTGGATTTCGGTAAAGTTGTCATCAGTAAAGATACTTCCTTCTCACTTTCCCAATACACTCGGGCATCTCAGATAATAGAATTTGTCTGGCTACCTTTCCATCCCAGTCCACAGCCATCAGGGTTGAAAACTGGACAGGGAATCAGACTAAAAATGATTGTTTTAATTAAAGTTTTGTTCAAATACCTTGGTCAGAGATTTGATTGCAAGCAGCTAAACATACCTAGAGCATTTCCATAGTTACAACCTATAGTTCACAAACACTGATCTAATATTAAACATTTCCATAGTTACAGCCTATAGTACCCAAACACTGATTAATATTAATCTTCCATATAATGAAGGTTTCTCATTGATTTGTCAGATTTGTCAGCTGCTCTCCTTTGCCTCTATGATTACATTTGGGGATATCTGTTGCCTTGACACCCCCCCCCACCCCTCAGCCATAGATTCATTAGTGACAAAAGTGTTGAAATCACCGTGTTGTTTTGACACTCAATATTTTATCTGATAGTTTGACCCCTTTGCCTTTGTTGCATCGGGAGTTATTTTCTCGTTGTAAATAATGCAAAAAACTACTAAGCTGTTTAAGTAAAAAAAGTGATGAAAATCCAGAAATTTTAACAAGAATCACGTGAAACACTCATCTACAATCTACTCCACAGTTCTTCTGGAAGGATTGTGGTTTATTCATCCTGGAATATTACACGATGTTGGCCACTGAGGGCAGTATATTTAACTTAATATTGTTTCTTTTTTTACTATTGAAACGTCATCGGAAACGGTATGCTGGTTCCTGAGAAGTCTCCTCATTTTTTGTAATCTATTTACCTCAAGACCCTTTCTGGTATTAACAAAATAATTTTGTTGAAAACCAAATCAGTCTACACTTAGAAGAAGTATTATATCCGTCTCTGTTCAAAATGGTAGATTTGTTTCCGATTTCCAGATCTATTCATAGATAATTTAATAAAAAATGAACATGTATATACTAAAAATAGTTTACATGTAAAAAATCTTACTTGTATCCATGTCTATTTATTGAGGGCGCTGTTCACAGGTGTGAAATGGCGGCAAGGTTTATGGTATTATGACTCGTCGATCAGCTGGTCAGTGAAAACACATAATGCCTTTACTTCGAGTAGGACTATGTCCGGCATTAACGAAAGAAGATTTGGAAGCTCTTAGGAAAGGAGGAATCAGATCAGGTACCTGTCACTTGGAAGTTTTAGTGGTCTGAGGACACATGTGGCTGACTGAAGCTACTCGTAGTCGTAATCACAGTATCCCGAAGATATACGGTTGGTTGGGTACATGCACATCTATATGAGGCGGAACGACTAGCATTCTGCCTAATATAGAGCACTGTGAGAGCGAGCCCTCGGAAACGGTCTCGACCGAGTTCATATAGGTTTATCAAATACCCGTACATAGAGCTAGTACTGCCACTGGTAAATGTGTATCAGAGATCCATTCAAAGTTTTGACATACCGGTATGTAAACATATAAGGGCTCGATCATTACATCATCACA